ATTTCTTAGTGAATTATTCTCTGTGTAAGTAATTTTATTTACAAACAAATTCAATAGTACAGAACTTTTTCTGCAAAGGAGTAAGATTTGGGTTGGCAAAAATATCCCTGCTGTGTGCCTCATGCAGAGGGTGAAATGTTATGGCACTGGAATGTTATCAGTCTGGGTGTGGAGTCACTCCATGTCCAGTAGCAAAGCTACAGGTGAGCTCTGCAGGTTGTCCCTGACAAAAGCTTTTCAGCCATTTGCTTCACACCTCATTATCATGCCTGCTGTTTCAGATGGAATGGGAAAAAGTTATTGGTGAAAGCATATTAATAGATCCTAAAAAAAATTACTGAAGAGATGAAAAACCATTTCTTATGTGTTGTTTCATGCTGTGATTAGTGTCAATTCAATTAACCAAGGCTCAGAAGGAGGCATAAATACCTGCAAAATTAATTTTAAATATTTTTCCATGGATCAAAACTTCCTGATTTAAACCCTGTGGTGAGGGACCTTCCAGACTTCAGAACTGCAGAATTATGGGCAAGCCTTCACCAGCACAATGGGGTTTACAACTATGAAGGCCTCTTACAGGGGCAAAAGGAAGATATTTTATTAAGGGAAGTAGAGGTTAATTACTAATAGACAGTTCTGATTGGCATTGATTGAAACTTTGAACACTGAACCAGAGGGGAAGCCATCAGCTGAGTTTCTGTATGGCTTTTATCCCATAGACACCTGTGATTGCATGTGTGATGTTTGCATGCCAGAGGGATTTTCATGTAAGAGGGTAAGATGGGCTTACTTCACAAACTGAAATCAGGGTATAATGATTATTTTTTCATTGAAAAGCCCAATATGCTGTGTTTGAGAATTCTAAGTGCTTTTCTTCTCACACAAGGTGACAGAGTACTTCACAAAGGATCATTTGTTCAACGCAGCCATTTCCAGACTGATGAGCCTCACTAACGTGCTCCACGTAAGTACACAGTGTTAATGAGGGGATTTTTCTGCCACACCCTGTCCCTGTAAATCTTTATACAAAGCAGGAGCTGCCTGAACTATAGGCCCAGCTTTCTGTCAGTTGTTTCTTGTCTTGTTCAAGTTGAGTGCCTTGCTGAATTACTCCTTGTGCCAGCAGCACGTTCTGGTTCCACCATAACCTGAAACAGGCAGTTCTGCAGGAAGAGCTTGATGCTATTAGAGCCACTAGGTCCTGCTGGCTCTGTCTGCAAGGGTTGCCCTTGTAATTCCCCAGAGCTTTTCATAAGTCCCCAGTTTATTGTGAAATCACACTCTCCTAACCACAGGCATTGATTTTAGGTTTTACTACTGCATTTTCTTAATGAAAGTACTTTCCCCCAAATGTTAACAATTTATTTTCTTCTCCTTCTGTCCTTTTGCTTAGCAAGCTTCTCGGCCCCTCATTCTCCACAGCAGAGAGTTTGAAGATGCTTTGGCTGCACTCTGCATTATGGTGGCACCTATGGCTCCACACATTGCCTCAGAGATGTGGAAAGGTATTTAGAGAAATAAAGTTCTTATTGATGTTCCAGGAAAAAAAAGGTTGAAAAAATGTCTTTAACATACTACATGTTATCCCTGAATTCTCCATCTGTCTTGGCACCTTCTCTTGTAATTCCTAGACACATTTGAAACTTGGGGTGTTCCCAGATCTCTCTCTGGTTTTAGTTTCCTTCCCCTTGCATGGAGAGGTGGATTTTTTGAGGCAGAGAAAGGGAGAAGGAAGAAAAATTCAGGATCAGACTTGCATGGGGAATTCTGATGTCAGTTGCTAGCTGCTCCTGCAGATGGATGGCAGCTTTAAGACTGAACGTGAGGATAGAAACAGCCCTTTCCCAAACAACTGCTCCAGTCTTTGGGCTACAAACACTGTCTTTAGGAATTCAGAGAACCACGTCAGAGGGCTCTCTGCTAAAGAGACTAAAGGAGCGTTGAATAAAATTCCTGCTCTTGCAGCATTCCCCAGAGACTGAGGGACATTATGCTGCAAATTAACCTCTCATGGGGAGTGGGAATGGTAGACAGGAAATCTTTTTTAAGATCTGTCACAGTTGTAAACCTCGGGGTCTGAATCCCAAGTGGGCAAAGTTTACAGTTCAAGCCTATGAAGTAAGGGGGGGTGTGCATGGCAGAGGTCAGCAGTTGCCTTAAGGATTATTGGGAAAAGGTGCAAGATATATGTGGGGAAAATAAGAAAATACTCTGCATTAAGACTGGCCACAAATGGTGGGGTGGTTTTGGATCTAACGTTAGCTTTTGGGTGCTTTTTGAACAGTTTTATTTTCAGCAGTTGTGCTAAAACTTTGTGCATTCAAGCGTTTGTGGAGCAGAGCTACTAAACTGCTTGTCTTAACACAAGCTTAATTGTTTAGAATAAAGAGTGGCAGCAGTCATGATCCAGCTGGAGGCTACTTCTGGTCAGTATTCTCTTACAACACAAAGTGCCATCTAATTAAAATTATACTTAAATGGGAGTATTTGCCACGATACTTTCTGCATTGGTTGAGGTGGAGGTGGCAGAGGTCCAGGCTGAGTACCTCAAACATACAGTGCCCTGGGACCTTGGAACTGAATATGTGTTGGGCAATACAGAATTATCAAATATGCTCAATAAAATGACAACAGGAGGATGTCTTAATTAATGTAAATGGTTGAACAGAAAGCTTAATCCTGTAACATTCTGAGTGTTGGGGAAGGAAGTCTTGTCTTCCCACTAAAATCCCTGGAGAATGATAAACATTCTGTGGATCTCTCTGATGCAAGTAGAAGGAAGCTTAATTGGGGTCAAGTCTTGTTGTTCTGATTTAACCAATTTAGTAAACTTTACCAGTGATGATCCTTTCTTACTTCAAATAATTTCACTATAAAAAATAAGCTTTCTAAATGCTATGTGTAGTTTTCTTTGTACTTTAGTTCTCCATACACACTCTTTTTTGTAGCTTGGCTTTGCATCTGACCAATTTATTAAACTTTACCATGAATAAGTGATGATCCTTTCTTACTTCAAATAATTTCACTATAAAAAATAAGCTTTCTAAATGCTATGTGTAGTTTTCTTTGTACTTTAGTTCTCCATACACACTCTTTTTTGTAGCTTGGCTTTGCATCTGGCTGTAGAGGTAGTGCTGCTTCCTCTCACATAAACTAGTCAGGAAGAGGACTTTGGATATTATTGTATATGATCAGCTCTATAAATAGCACCTAGAGGAGCCATCCCCCTCCCCACATTGATGGAATCCTCTGTCTGCTCTTGCAGTGCCAATAATAAACAGCATGTAAGCAATGTATTTATAATTAAATACAGACATTTCATTCCAAAATAACTTGCATGCAGCCTGTACATTTTGGTTTAGTGAGTCAAAAAAAGGAGCATTTTTCTTTCCACAGGGGAAAATGAAACAGGGAGAGTGGGGAGCCCTGTAGTTAATATCAAGCAGATAATTTTGCTGTGAGTAGGAACACTGGGAGGAAGAGTGACTTGAGTTAACTCTGAGCCATGTTACACTTCCGTGTGGATTTGAGCTTTTTTTGAAGAAAAGGGATTTTACTTTCTTGGTAGTGTTTCTCATTAGAAAGTGTTTAGCAGATGAGGAGAGATGCTTAATATTAATTTTACTACAACCCTACAAGAGAGAAAAGAAAAGAGCATCCTCATTAATTTTGACATCATGCTTCTCAGGATGAATAATACTTCTACTCTTGCATTTTAATTTCTCCTTTTATGCATTTCTGATCACTGATTATGTTCAAAAAAACATTTAAGATGAAATTACAATATAATTTAAAAGTAAACATGAAATAATGACAACCTACAGTTAACCCCTGGCTTAATGTGTGGTAATATATTAATTCTGTCAAGGATTTAAAAACAGTTACACCCCTGAACTGAAGAACTTCGTGGCTGAGCACCTGGAATGAGGCCTTCTAGAGGTAGCAGAATAAATTTTGACAACTGGGAGCTCTTCTGCAGGTGCAGATAGGCTGGGGGCTTTTTCAGTTTAAATGAGAGGTGTTTTGGAAATGTCCAAAAATCAGCCAACCTTTTTTCCTTTACTAGGTTTGGAATGAAAAGCTAGGCCAAAGAGGCTGGCATCTGTAGATGTTAAAATCCTGAAGGCTCTGTTGCCCAAAAATATCTGATACTATTGGTTTTATTCTGTAATTACATAAAATAGTCTCCTTTGCCTGAAAAAAAGTATTTAAATGCAAAACACAATGTGATACATTTTAAAGTGCTTAAATATTCTTATATTTATATTTAAATAGCATTTATATATATATAGCAAAAAGTGCTTTGTTTCTTCTCAGTTGATTTCCATTTCAATCTAAAAGCTATTTGACACAGATCACAATGAAATGTAAAAAAAAAATAGCAGTGTTCTCTCATACAACAGCTTGCAAATATTAACACTTGGCTGAGTGTATAAGCATGTCTGTGGGTATCCTCTTGGCCAGCAAAAAGGTTCTTTACAGCTGGATTTAACTGCAGATCAGTCCAGCTTGATGATTACCAACTAATGAAAATATTGGGGAAACTTCCAAAATTATCTGAGAGTGTTCATTAAAGCTGCTTTGCTTGCCACTTGAAGCAATGACTGACGTCAGCAGTGGAAGGAATTTTGTTGTCATGATGCTCTCCTGCTTTGCAAGAGTGGGGTCAGAGCTCATGTGAAATGTTAGCTTTTCAGTCCACTGCTTTCTTTGTGAGCTTGGAGATAAACTTTGCAGGCTCAGAACTGCAGTTTGGTAACCCAGGGATGCTTCTGATGTGTGTATAACTGAAGTAAAATACAATTCAGTAGGATTAAAGTAAAATGAGATTCAAGGTACAGCAACTTTTGTTGTTCTGCAGCTGAAGAATCATTCTCCTGTGGGGTTTCATTGCTCTGTGACCACTTTTGTTTGATGCATCAGGTAGGAAGGAAGAGTTTGGTCTCTGTGAGCTGGCTGAAGAGCAGCCATCAGTACTGGCACTAAATACTTCCAGGCGTAAATACTTCCAGGCTGCTGGGATGCTGTTTAACCCAGTGCTGAGGCATTTGTGGAGCAGCTTTCAGGTTTCTGGTGGGTGAGCCCAGCAGTGCTGGCAGTGCAGGGAACACAGCAGCCTGTTCTCACTCCCCTCAGAGGTGGCTGCAGCCCCTGGCTGGGGGAAGAGCTCATCCGGCTGCTGGCTGGGCAGCTGATGAACACCAACAGGATGAGGAAATCTGCTTCCTTCCTGCAGCCTTGTGTCTGAGGAATACAGGCACCATCTGAGGCTGCTGGGGATTTGAGACTGTCTGTAGTCATGGGGTGTTTTGCTGGCCAGACAAGGGTGTGAAGCTGCTCCCTGTGAGCTGTTACATTCTTATTAGAGATGGCACGTGGAAGATATGTACTGATGATAAACATACCTGAAGAGAGATTGAAATGGAACTTCAATGAATGGAACTGGGGTTTGTAATAGTATAATTATCTTAACAACACTCTGACTGTCAGTGCAATAGCTCTTTTGGAAGGATTTCTTTGTCCGAGTTCAGTCCTTGCCCAGGAAGGCTTCTGTAAAGAATGGAGTTGAGGAGAAGCTAATTGATATCACAGATTTTAATTGAAAATCTGGATGCAGAAACCACCCACCAGAAATCCAACAAGAAACACAATTTGGAGTTTTAAAAGTTGGGGTTTTTTTCCTCCAAGAATAATAACAATGCACAGTAAGGGGCAGTAAGTCCATCCAGGTGGAGGAAGGCAGATCATTTCGGGGAGGTTAAAGGGGTGCATGTGGAGTTTGCTGAATGGGAACACACTCTAGAGTTCACTTTTGGTAACCCAGGCTTCTCACAGCCCACCCTGGTGCTCCACAGCTGTCACCAGGGAATGCAGAAGCTGCATCCCCTAGTGCTGCACTGAGGAAAAGTGAATTTTCCTGACTTCACCCAGTCCTGTGCTGCTACACCATAGGACAGGACAGGTTTGCTGGGAGCTGTCTGGGATCAGCTGCTCCTGTGCTGTCCTTTCCCAGAGGTTTCAGCCCATTCTGTTTGGGTCTGGCAGACACACTCCTCCTGGGCTGCAGGAGGCTGTTTCTGACAGGCAGCTTGCCTCAGGCTGGCCAAGAGAAAGTGTCATTAAATAGTAAAAACAGCACGTCAGGCACAAGGCAACAGTGGCACCAGTCCTGTCCTTGGCAGAGGCTGCAGAGGCCAGGGAGATACTGACCCAGAACACGTCTCCACTTAGCCTTGCCCTGCTCTGGGCTTTTGGGAAAGCTTTAGCTGCTCATCTGCTGGTGCAGTGGATTTTTAATTAACACAGGTTCCTATTGGTTTGACAGCTAAATCCAAAAGTTGCCAGCATTTGGACAATGCCACCCTCATAGTCACCTTATGCTTCCTGCTCTCATCTTTTTGTGTCCTGTTAGCAAAGTCCTAGTCCTGATTTCTGGGACTGATGTTGCTTCAGATGCCTTCTCTTTTTTCTTTATTGCCCATTAAGGCTCCTGCCCTCCTGCCTTTTCTGCTTTGGGAGCCTCCCTGTGCCAGCTCTTACTCCATCACCACATCTTTGTCTCTTGCCTGCATAGATTCATGTCCCAACTGGCTGCACTGTTGCTGGGATTTGACAGTTATTTTTCCTAGTGCTTTTTTCCTGCAGGACCAGAGTGACCTTGCTGTGGCAGGCAGAAGATGTAATCATTTGGTTTGTGTTTTGATACACAGTTGCTTCCACATCTTACTTGTTAAATCTCTTTAAAATGAGAAGCTGCTCTCCCTCCCCCAGCAGCACCTTAGGGGAAGGAGAAGCATTAACACTTCTGAAATCCTCATGTGGTGCTAATAAAACATTGCCACGAGCTGAAACATTGTTCAAATGGTCCTGTCCCCTCCTTCCCTTCCCTCAGCTCACCCATTTACTGGGTTTATCCTATGTACTGGGAGCTACTGGTTAGGGAAAGCTTGTTTTAGCATTTGTATTACCACAGGATGTCATGCCCAGTGTATGAACTGGGGGCAACTGGTTATGGGGCCTGAGCACTGCTGGGTACCAGTCAGGGAGTGGGGAGCAGTTGCTTTGTGCATCTCTTGTCTTTTCTTGGGGTTTATTTCTCCATCTTGTTGTTATTTTTCATCCCTTTATTGCCACTTTTCATACTAGTATAACTTTTGGTGCTTTTCATTACTAATTTTTTTATTGTTGTTATTTTATTTTGGTTATGAAGCTGTTCTTATCTCAGCCCACAACTTCTGCTCCAGTTCTCCTCCCCACCCCAGTGGGAGCAGGGAGGAGTGAAGGAGAGGCTGCGTGGGGCTCAGCTGCTGCCTGAGCACAGCACAACACCAGAAGCACAGCACACACAGTTTCATCAAGTGCACTTCACTAGGCTCTTTCCAGTACAGTAAGACAGGAAAATAGGGGTTTAGTGTTTACACAGTAGGAGTCTGTGGAATGATCAGGTTTTCACTTCTCAGTGCTTCTGTGTAGGGTGTCAGAATCCAGTGGGAAGGCTGGAGGAGGGCTCTGCCTGGGTCCTGACAGATGGGCCATCCCCACTCTGGAGCAGGGTGGTGAAGTTTCTCAGCTTGTGTGTGTTGCAGTTTGAAAGCAGAGCCCAAGTCATTACATTTTCTGTGTCCTACAGCTCACAAGATGTGAATTAAGGCAGGAAGCAAAACAGGCAACATAATGAAAACCTTCATTTTGGTTTCCTGTCAAACTCTTTTTTTTCTGAAACTAGTTCTGTTGACTTTTGCAGTTTTTGTTTTAGTATGGATGAGCTCATAGCTCATTTTGTAGCAAGAAAACGAACCAAAAGATCAACATTGTGCTTAGTCACACTTTATCTGCTTCAGAATGCATGGGGGTTTTTTGTGTTATCAGGTTTATTAGGACTGACAGCTTCAGTGGGGTTTAAAACTGACCCTGGCTTTGCTTTCCTAGGTAGAAGCTCTTGACTTCTATAAGAAAGTGGTTTTTAAATAGTTTGAAGAATCCACTTCAGCAGGAAAAAAAACCAGTATGTATGTGTCTGCCACAAGGCATGTGATCAGCTGGAAAGAAATGAGCTCATCTGGAGGTTCAAAAGCCAAAAAGGGAAGAATCTAGCAGCTGTGGTCTTTAAAGTCAACGTGATAATGAATCACCAATGTGGAGCTTTTTTCCTGCTTGAGTTCCTATCTTCTGCTCTTTCAGTTTCTGAGCTGCTGCTGCAAGAGGGGAAAAAAAAAATACCCAAAAGCAGATCTGTTGAAGTGTTTGAATCAATTATTGGGGCTGACAGATCAGTTACAGAGTGTGGCTTAGCTGTTATTCTTGGGGAATGTGCACGTTCTTGCTTCCCTTTAGGAGCAGCTCCTGCTGGCCCAGCCCAGTGCCCTTGGGTCATTCTGCCAAAGCTCTCTGTCCCCAGGAGCACTCACCAAAACTGGGTGGAGTTTTCTGGAGGAGGTGGCATTTTCTGTCTGCCCCTGGCTGCTGCCACTCACTGGATTGGGCTGAACAACCAGCGAGGGAATTTCCTGGCTGTGTTACTCTGGGCTGGTCTTGCTCCTGTCTCAGCTGTTGTGCTGCATTCTGAACAGCTTCAGGTCCCTCAGTGGCACCAGCAGATCTTGCACTGATGGCTTCTCTTTATGCTCCTGCTGGAGGCTGCCCAAACCAGATGAGATTTCAGGTACACTTGGCACTTCTGAATGAAGCACGTGCTCCTAAAAAGTTTTAGTCTGTTTTCTTACTCATACACAGGGTGTGTTTTTAATCTAAACATCCCCTGGCTTTGTGAGAATTGCAAGAGCAGTTGTCAGTGTGGATCATATTTGACAGCCTCTTGTTCAGTGAAATCTTTTTATTTTGTCCTACAGCAACATAAATCCCACTCAGAAGGTTTTATTCAGTTAAGGAGTGCAGCTTCAGAATGAATTGGATCCTCTTCTCCCATTAGTTAAATCAGGAGTGAAATTGTCTTGGGGAGAGCAAAGCCTAGTTCATAAAAGGAGATCAATCACTTACAGTCATCTCAGGAGTTTTTAAAATAAAAAAAAAAAAATTTAAAATGAAAAAAAAATCCCAGGATCAAGTGTTTCAGAATGCACATATCAAAAGGAGAGTGAGCTCTGCAAAATATTCTTACATAGCACCTTTAATGTGAGAGAAAATAGGGACTTCACAAAAGGTGAGAAGATTTTGCAAGTAGCTTGACTTGCAAATCTAGAAACTACCTGGCTTATTGCAGATGGTGGAATAATTAGCCATAATGGTTTATCAGTCTGGTAGAGCTCTTAGTAAAATTTTAATCAAACTGATGGTTTTATTGGGGGGAAAAAAATGCAGTATTGTGATTGAGAAGCAGAGCTCAGCTTGCACTGCAGCATTACAATTTAAAATAATAAATGGTGGTTTTCTGTGGGCTTTTCAAAGTTATGGAGTGTTAATCCAGACCTCAAATGTACCCACGTTGTTGATGTCAGCACCCCTAGACACAGCACAGAGCAAGCACTTCAGAAATGTGTATCTTCCTGTCTATCATAATCTAAATATTGTTCTTTCCTCCTCAGGGACTTGTTTTTAAAGTCAACTGCTTATTCTGATCTTATTTACCAAACAAATTCCACAGGCCAAATGTTCTGGTTCCAGTACAGCTGAATGTCTGACTGGTTTCACGTTCCAGGTTTGGCACACGTGCAGAATAAACTTTGTCCTCATCACCACTGGGATGTTGATGTGCTGCAGCAGTCCTGGCCCAAAGTAGACCCTGAGTACCTTCAGCCAGCAGAGGTGGTGGAGATGTCTGTTCTGGTAAGAGCCTTGGCATTGATTTTCAGGGGTGGACAACTAGTGCATGACAAGCTCAGAAGATGACATTAGTGCTCCTGGGGAGGTCCATTCCTGCCTTAGGCAGCTCAGTGAAAAGTCAGATAGAATAGAAGCTGCAATTACCCTTGTGCTGAGTAATTAAAATGGTTTCCTAAAGGGAAAACTGTAGAAAGTCTGGAAAGAAGATGATCTAGGGGTAAGTCTTTTTGAGTGTGTACTAGTGTCTGTCTAGATGTGACCAATCAGCAGCTGTGGGCAAGGACAGGACAGTCAAAACCATGATCAAAGTCCAGGTCCTTTCACATTTTTTGCCTGACAGCACATTTATGAACTTGGCCCTGTACAAAAATGTGTGATGAGGTGACTTTTCTTGTGGTACCTGTTATGCTGTGGTTGCCTTGCAACCTATCATAAGCTGGGCTAGGTTGCTGTGATTTTTAATAAATGATGTTGCCCATCTCCTTGGGCTGAATTTCAGACCCATTTCAGCAGAGTGTTTACAGGAACAAGGCTGAGGAAAAACAGGGATCTCAGAGTCCAATCCCACCTGGCCTGGGATGGTTCCAGGGATGGGGCAGCGACCACCTCTCTGGGCAGCCTGGGCCAGGGGCTCACCACCCTCAGCATCAAACATTTCTTCCTTCTCTCTTACCTCTTTTAATTTCAAACCTTCCCCCCTTGTCCTGTTGCAGCAGGCCCTGCTAAAAAGTCTGTCCCTGACTTTCTACATGTCAGTCCACTTGCACAGAATGAGAAATGCTGCTCAAAGACTCATTTTTCTCAGGTTCAATGTACATCCTCAGCAGAGGCCACAGGGGCTGTGTTTTTGGAGGACATCTCCAGTTGGCATCTTTTCCCAAAGCAAGAAGAAGGACTCAAGTGCCAGCTGGGGTTAATAGCAGACTTTCCCTAATATTCACTGTGCATATTTTGCTTTTGATATGATAAGCATTTATTTATCCTAGTAAAAAGGTCATATATCCACAGAAACCTTCACTGGGGTATAATCACTGTGCTCAAGCTTAAAATAAACCTTTGCCTTCAAGCACAGCTAGCAAACGTCTGAAATTCCAGCCTGCAGTTTATAAGGAAGTCATGAATGAGAAATTGTGTAATTAGAGAAACTTCTCTGCAGTTTGGGTTAAAGCAAACATGGTTTTAAATACATCATTAAAATACAAACTTTGGCAATACAGGGAAAACTCTGAACTGGGTGTTTTTAAGATGATACAACTGAGCATGGAAATGCCTGGACATTTCACTGATACCTTCCTGCCTCCTCAAAAAAAACAAAAGCAAACACACAAAACCCTCCTCTCCTCCAGACATCACACTGCCCCAGGCTGCCAGGGCCTTGCCTGCTGAGACACTATGGGTGTATTTCTCTTGACACAAACTGCTTTGTGATTTCCTGTCTGTGCTGGAGTTTCTTCTTTCCATATTTAACCCAGAGCAGCAAAAGCAGCTAACTCGCTGCCTCCTGGGTGATACAGCCCAGATCACCTGCAAGAAGGGCCTTCAACCCCCTGGAGACTGGTGTCTGTTACTCTCAGTGTTATGGCAAAGTGGGGTGTTTGTAACCATAGCCCAGATTGTTCCTGCTGGGAAGTCTGCCCTGCATGCAGTGTGCATTTCATCCTGCTCTCTGGCTCCCCTTCCTCACACTTTTAGGTGGGGCAGAGCTCGCAGCAGCTGTGGCATCAAAACTGATGGGTTTATAAAATTTAAAATAAAATAGTTGGTGTCATTTTTCTTGTTTGGGCATGTGAGGAAGGCCTCAAAGTACACAGACAGTAAATTTCATTTTTACTTCTCAGAAGGGTTATGCATCAAGGCTGAAAAAATATTTGAGTTGAACTAAAGCTTCCTCTCTGCAGCATCCAGGTGCTTATTTTTCAGTCTTTGATTTCAGCTTCATCCTTCATAATGTCTTTAGTTCCCTCTGGAGCCAAAATAGTCTAAAATATTAAATCTTTAAAAAAAAGGAACAAAGCAGCAGCAGCATCCTTCCTCAAGGGGAGAAAGGACCCAAGCCTCATTTACATCTCCTCTTGCAGTTTGCCATGATTAAGACTAAACCAGCAGAAGCTTCCTATGACCACTTCTTCAATTTTCCTTGAGTATCATGAGTTAGAGTTTCTCTCCCTTCTTTTATGCCAAATGGACAAGGAGCAGTGGAGAATTTTATCCTCCACTTAGCCTGGTGTTGGAGAGAAGAGAATTAGATCCACACTCACCCCCTCCCCTTGCGACGAGATGGATCAGATTCAGGAAATGAAATTCTACAAATGGTTTTGGTAACTTCTGTTTTTTCTTGTTGCCATGTCTCTCTTCCAGATCAATAACAAGGCCTGTGGCAAGGTCCCCGTGCCCCAGCGGGCAGCACGCAATTTTGAAGAAGTCCACGAGCTGGTTCTTCAGAGTGAGCTGGGAGTCAAGCACCTCCAGGGGAGAACCATTAAAAAGGCTTTTCTGTCCCCACGAACCGCCCTCATCAACTTCTTGGTGCAGGAGTAGCAAAGGCTCCTAGCAAAAGCAAAACCCTGCTGGGCTGCAGAAGGGAGCTGGGGACTGTCAGGGCACCACCAGCAGTTCTGGGTGTTTAAATCTCGTGTCACGGTGAGGAAGGAATGTTATTAAAATCAGGTTGCTGTTAAATCTCCATTTCAACGTGGAGAAGTGACCAGCACTGAGGTTTCTGTTTGTATTCTCTGGGAGAATGAGAAAGGAGCACAGAGGAACGAGATGATTGTAACAGGGTGTAAATGATGCTAAGCCCTGAGTGTGTGTCAGCCTCAGGGATACATCCTGGGAAGCTGGCTGGGTGCAGAGGCATAAACAGGATCCCACGACTAAAGGACTGCCCTGAGTGTGCTACAGCAGATGTTCAGTGGGCTGCAGCTGATCTTTGCTCCCTGCATCTCATGCCTGGGTACCCTACCATTAATGTTTTAAGGTATAAGAAAATGTTACTATAGAGTGTTAATTTAATAAAGGATTTCTTCAGCAGCAGCCTTGGGCAGAGCAGGTGGCCAGAGCAGGGTGGTGTGATGCATTTCACAGACATTTCAGAGCCTGGCTGAGAAAGAGGTCAGATTATTCAGCCAAGCCCTGCCTTAGCCAGCATCCTCCTTCCTCGTTGGCATATTTCTGTCAGCTCATACACAGGAGGCTCAACTTCAGCAAAGTGCTGGTGGATGTTTCTGCCCAAAGCAGAGTGGAAGTTACTTCCCAGAGGTGATCCATCTTGGAGACTTTTTGGGGGATTCAAGGAAGAAAGGAGTTGGCTGCTGAAAATGCAGTGGCAGGGCAGGCAGGCAGCAGGCTTTTTTGCTTCTACTCCTTGTTCATGTACTGCCCAGGTCATAAAACTTGAATCAAATTTATTTCCTTTTTTTTTTTTCTTGGGGGTCCATGAAGTGGAAAGAGCCACCACGTTGCTAAAAATCAATCAGGCTGCCATAAATACAGAGCCTCATTCCAACAGTTTATTCCTACACTGTTACATCCACATGGAAGTGTTTAATATATTTACCAGACGCTTGAGAAAGGGTTTGCAAAGAGACAAGGACAGGGTTCATTGTGTCAGGCTGTCTTTTCTTTGACAGCCATTAAACTAAGTAGCCCAAGAAGCCAGGCAGTTGTGAGCCATGCAGGCAGTGACAACCAGGGGGGCAGAGGCAGGGGGCTGTGCTAACCCTCCAGCCCAGCTGCCATCCAGACTCAGTGTTAGACCAGACAGAATCCACCAAACATCTCCCACGATGGCAGTACCTAAGCTCAATGGATGCCAAGTGCCTCTGGTCAGGACAGGTCACATTGCAGAGTACCAGCTGAGCAATGCCAGTGTTCCTTTTGGTGTTAGGCATTGATGGTACCAAAGATGTAGGGATCAGAGGTGCCAGGCTCAGCGAGCAGCCTCGTGGACTCCTACAATCAAACTCTAATGATTTCTGCTTCCTCCCAGACCACACTCATGCAAATTTTCTCTCCAGCAGTCCTTTGACAGAAGAATGACTAAGAAACGGAGCATTTATAGTGAAGATACAGTCTCTGCAGTTTTAAGACTCCAAAAATCTCAGCCACAAAGGAATGCATTCAGACATTCAAACACAGGCCTTTAGTTGGAGTTAAAATAATTTGAATTCCAGTGTCTGCCCTGACATATATGTTGTTGTAAATTCATAATACTCCTGTTCAGCAGCCCCTAAAAGGACTGTGAAAGAGATCCTTTAAAGTAACATCTGTAGCACAGCCCAGCCCTGCTTTTGGGGTTTTTCTGTATAAAAGTTTAACACCCCCTGCAGAACCATTTTAATAGAGTTTTTCTTGGGGGGAGAGGTAACGTGTGTGTGGTGTGAATTGTAAACTTTAAAAGTTGTTGTTTTTTGTTTTAAGGCTGAAGACATGTGAGGGCAGCAGCCGTGTGGTGCTTCAGCAAGCTGCAGTGAGTGCCAGGCTGGGCAGCAGCCCGGGGTGGCTGCAGGGAGTGACCTGTGGCTGGCACTCAGTGATTCAGGCAGAAATCAAAATAAGGAGGGGACTGGGGCGGGCTGAAAAGGGAAAGGCAGCACAGAGCAATTGCACAAGAGTGGTCAGAAGTCACACCAGCCTGTTTACGTTGAAGTTCAGCGTGGTCTGGAGGGTATGAGAAGGGTGTTGGAGAGGGAGGGAGGGGAGGAGCAGGAGCTCTGCCCCCCGTGAGGCTGTGTTGGGCCATGGCAGAGGTGCCAGCTGGGGATCCTGCAGCTGTCCCAAGGCTGCTGACATTGCTGACCAGGCTGACCTGCTCTGAGGCACAATTGCCAGTTGTATTACAAGAGTTGTGACTCAGAGGTTTGCCCCGTGGCTACGTGGGACTGATACTGATACAGGGCAGGACAGAACTAATTCTGTTCAGTGATTTTACTTTTCCTGCTCTTCTAAGAGCTGGGGAGCGAGGAGCCAAAGATGGTGTGGGGGATTTGTTAAACCCAGTGGGGCAAACCCAGGGCAAACTACTCCCAGAAATGGATCCAGGGACAGGAGGGGCACTTTCTGCACCCTGTTGCTGAAGGGGACAGAAGACTGGCACTGATCCAGTCAGGATTGAGTTTCTATTCTAAGTAATAGAAAATATACCATAAAAAAGAATTCTTGGCACACTTTATATCCACAGCTAACACAGGTCATACAGGCCCCCTGCTTTGTCTGCCCCTCCAGTGCCAATCCTCAAAGAAAACTATTCCCCTTCTCTAAACTCTTTACAAACATCATGAGCTAGAAAGAATGTTAATCAGCACTTTGCTGCTTGTTCCTTCCTGGGGAGGTTTGCACTATTTTTCTCAAAGCTTGGCTGTAAATGAAAATTGAACAAATCACTGGGTTTGGGGTTTTTTTTCTCTAGTTTTTGCCACACTTACTACAATTTACAGAGAGGGGATTGGCTTGATTTATGTATATTTGCCAACTTGGTAATAGGCACGGGGTTTGCTGGATGCTTTTTCTGCTGCTTTATTTCTTCAGCCTCCTCCTATTAGGATCTGAGCTGATTCAGTGGCAAAGGACTGTGCTGAATGTGGAGCCAGGTCTGTCACCAGAACCCCTGTGCTGAATACACTTCTTAGCCCACTGATTTCCACCAGTCCAGGTAACGTCTGCTTTTGAGATTAAAAAACAGGGCTGGAACTACAGCTGTGGTTGGGTTTTTTTAATGGAAAGGGGGTTTATGTCTCAAAGCAGAAGCACAAAGCAGATCACAGCAGATCAGCAGCAGTTTTTACCATGTCCCAGCTGTAGCAGGAGGGGAACTGAACTTGGAGCATCATCTCTGTGCTGGAGGGGACAGGATCAGAGCTCTCATCTGCAGATAACAGATCTGGCCTGACACAGGGAGGAAAGGTCAGACTTTTTTTTTTTTTCCTTTTCCTGAACAGAGTGACTGTCAGGTACCACAAAGCATTCTGCAGTTTCCATCCCCATCTGCCCAGGAGGCCCCAAGTCACACACAAACTCCGTGTCTGGGGCACTTCTCTAGCTCAAACATAGCCTTGGGTTGGGAAAGTTCAGGTCTGTGTTGAGCCCCAGGGGAGCTGCAAACCAGCATCATCTTCCATACAAAGTGGGCTCTAGTTTTCTGTGTAGTCAGAGAGTTTGAGGAGGTTTTCCTGGGTTTCTAAGTTCTTAGTGTCTCTGAATGAGACTGTTTTTGCCTGGGTGTCCTGACATTGCAGAGAGAAGTCCTGATGGCTTCTGTTCTATTTGCTAGCCTTTACCTTGGCCATGAGAGACTTGAAACTCAGGTGAGGTCAAGTGGATGCTTGTGTTTGTGAACACAGCCCAGACTTGTGATTTTGATCACAGGAATCTCAACAAAAATACCCCCAATACTGAACACCCAGCACATTCCTTTGTACACTCTCCTGCCTGCACCACACCAGTTTGCTCTCCATTTTAGGCTGCTGAATTGCAAAGGAGCGTGCCAATGGGAAAAGCTTCTGTGTAATCACCTGAATATTCATATTCTTTCTGCTTGCATTTGTGGCACTCAGGCTGGGACACTGGGAGCTTTTATCTGAAGAGCCTGCTCAACTTCAGCATAACTCTCAGCAGAGCCTGTCACGTGTACGTGACCAGAAGTGTCCCTTTGTGCTTGCTCCCTTAGATGCTGGGCTGGCTGCAAGGGGAAGGCCCACAGTGACATCTAAGGCTCTGGACTTCCTTATCCACCAGCACTTCTTCACACGTGCCAAAACTGAGCATAAATGGTGCAGGGCTTTCCCTCTGAGAAGGGAAGCACGAGCAGCGAAGCAAAGGAGCTGCTCTCCAGTGACTCTGCTGGGTGCCAACGAGGCATGAGGTGGAATAGGGATAGTCCAACAAGCTGTAGGTGATGCAGTGCACCCATCAGGAGTAATCAACCCAGAACTGGGGCAGAGAAGAGCTATTTAATGAAGGGGCCTGGCACATTGCTGGCACTGCCAGCCTGGGTTTGCTCCTGGTGAAGGTTCAAGAGAACTGGCTGGCAGGAAACTCTTTTCTGCTACAAAGGGAAATCAATTGTCTTTAGAAACACAGCGGTGTAATTAGCAAATCTTACTAATTGCTGCAAAACAGAAATACAAGTGAGCGTTGCCAGGCTGGCTAAGCCAAGAAAGCATTGTGAAAAAAAAAAAATGGGAGAAGCTTTTAGAAATGAATGTTTTTCTGAAGTACGTGTCCATCCCCGGAGATCCACGTGGCTGGACGAAATAGCAAGGGTGCAATAAAAATATATACTTCCCAATTTT